CCTCCCTCCCTCCCTCCCTTAGAGAAGGCTGTGAAGCACTATGAAGTGGTATATGCTATTGCTATTGCTATTCTCTAAGGAAGGGAGGGAGGAAGGGGCAATAGCAATAGCATATACCACTTCATAGTGCTTCACAGCCTTCTCTAAGGGAGGGAGGGAGGGAGAGAGGGACAGTAGCAATAGCACTTACTTATATACCACTTTACAGCCCACTCTAAGCGGTTTACAGAGTCAGCCTATCGCCCCCAACAACCTCGGAAGGATGGAAGGTTGAGTCAACCTTGAGCCAGTGAGAATTGAACTGCTGGCAGTCGGCAGAATTAGCCTGCAATACTGCGTTCTAGCCACCGATCCACCAAGGCTCAGTGAATGTGAATTTTACCTGCAAATCTTGGGGCAGATTTAAGTTATAAGCCCATTTAACCAGTAGTTCATTAATAGTTCATTTTTAAAAAGCTAATGTATTATCGTATTTATCTGTATCAAACCGATCTAAGGTTGAAATGCAAAATCTAAGGTTGGCTGCAGAAATGCAACACAAGGGAGCATGCGACTAATTCCTGAAGCTCACGGGAAGCAGCAGTTTCAGCTACAGGTAGTCCTTGACTTACGACCGAGCACAGGGAGCCCCAAATTTCCATTGCTAAGCAAGACAGCTGTTAAGTGGGTTTTCCTCATGTCATGACCTTTCTTGCCACTGTTGCTAAGTGAATCACTGCAGTCATTAAGTGGGTAACCCAAGTTCTTAAGTGAATCTGGTTCTCCCCACTGACTTGCTTGGGAGAAGGTCACAAGAGGGGATCACGTGACCCTGGGACACTGCAACTGTCAGAAGTACATGCCATTGTAGGGGTGCTACAATGGTTGGTGTGAGAAACGGTCATAAGGCCCCTTTTTTTCAGTGCTGTCGTAACTTCGAACAGCCACTAAATGAATGGTCGTAAGTCAAGGACCACCTGTATTTTCATTCCAGATGTCACGTAAAGAACAGAGAGTAAAATCTTGAGTAAATTCTTCCAGCCAACATACCAAAGTAGGATATTGTTCAAAATGGCAGCGTTCCACTTTTCGTACGCCAAACAACTATTTTTAAGTGCCAGTGGGGCATTAGTCTAGTGTCGTTTTTTGGCTACATTTCAAACTTAAATGTCTCATGCAGATCAGAATTATTCAGTTACCAAAACGTTTTCTAGTTCAGGGCAGATTTACAATGTCCGCTAATATTACTAATGGATGCCTTGGTACTGTAGGAATGTTCAGAAAATATTGGGCACCTCAATAAGAACATTTTTTTTGCAAAGATAGCCATAGCACTTATATATACCGCTTTACAACCCTCTCTAAGCGGTTTTGCAGTCAGCATCTTGCCCCCAACAATCTGGGGTCCTCATTTTACCCACCTCGAAAGGATGGAAGGCTGAGTCAACCTTGAGCCTGGTGAGATTCAAACTGCCAAATTGAACGCAGCCAGCTGTCAGCAGAAGTAGCCTGCAATACTGCCCTCTAACCACTGCGCCACCAAGGCTCTTTTTTCGAGATCCATTTTCCTTCCCCCCAAACACCCCACTTAGTAACTGAATAAGTCTCTCTAGATAAAAATCGGAGTCACCCATCACCTTTTCGCCAACGAGGGGCACTCAAGGTCGCTAACAAATTAAAATGATAGGATGAAAACACAATTAGAACAACACACAAACAACACTCAATGTGTCCCTACTTTTTAGCCATGATGCTGAACATCAGAAACCTGTTCATATAAATCGGATTTTGCCTCCTAAAGCAGGGGTGTCAAACTCGATTTCATTGAGGGCTGTATCAGGATGGTGTTTGATCTCAGGGGGTCGGGGGCGTGGCAGAGGTGGACACACCCAGGATGACATCACTCGTATCAGGGGGGGGCACCTGCGGTGTCACAAATGTTCTGCCAGCAAAACGGGCTCCCGAGTTCCGTTTTCAGCTGGGACAGCCTCCTGCGACCTCCTGCCAGTGAAAATGGAGCTAGGGAGGGCCATGTGCATCCTTTGTGAACTCCATTTTGACTGGCAAAGGAATCGTGGGTTAGTCCTTTGGGGTTTCCAGGGTGGTCCTGTGGGCCAGATCTAAGCACCCCACGGCCAGATGTGGCCCCGGGGACTCGAGTTTGACACCCCTGTCCTAAGGAACATCTTTCCTAACCTTCTCCCTTGTCTACAGAGATGCTCCATCATCCAGATCATGGGTAACTGGACTTCTTTTGTTTTTTCCTTGAAAACATTTCGCTTCTCATCCAAGAAACTTCCTCAGTTCAGTTTGAAGAAGCTTCTTGGGTGAGAATTAAAACGTTTTCAAAGGAAAAACAAAAAACCAAGGTAAGAAAAAAAAAAAACCGGGATAACCCTTTCCTTCTTCCCACCCATCGGCAAAGAATTCCAGAGACTTACAAAGGACAATGAAGTCTTCTCTATCCAGACTCTTGCTGAGGTATAGGAGTCCCGTTCTCTCGCCAACCTGAAACCAGGTGTTTTTGGATCCCGTATCTGGGACTAAACAATAGAAAGCTTCTTCCTCTTCTGAATCTTTTAAGGCATGGAGTTGTAATAAAGGTGTCCCTTCCGGTTGTTCCAGGTAAACGTGTTCCTCATACACCTTCTGGGGAAAGTACAGGCCAACGGCAACTGAGAAAGAAAGGGGGAGGAGGAGAATAAGACAAAAACATTGTCTATTTAAGATTCCTGGCGTAAGAGCGGGTCCTTTAAAAAAAAAACTCAGCTTGTCAGATAAAGGGGGCGATTCCCTCCCCCAAAAGAAACCACAAAATAGTAAGGAAAGGAGGAGAACAGGGAAAACCCTGGGGAAAGTTACTAGAATAATAAAAGGAAATATCCTGAAGAAAAGATACAACAATCACAAAAACAGGGGAAAGAAAAAGAAGTTGTTAGGGGAAAGGGGGAGAAGAAGAAAAAGAGTTAAAAGTGGAATTTTTGAGAGCCTAAGAGAAAAGGGTTAAAAAGGGTTACTTTAGTAGACTAAAGAGAATAGTAGCAAGATTGTTATGCTTATCTAATTAATTAAGAAATAAAGAAATTATAGTATAGACTCTAGACTCGACTACTGCAACGTGCTCTACATGGGGCAGCCCTTGAAGAGCATTTGGCGACTTCAGCTTGTCCAGAATGCA